TTTATCCGAAGAAATTGAGAGGATAATTGTCGAGATTTTTTAGTTGAATGTAGTCGATGATTAAAGTTGCTTTCAGATTAAACAAAACACTCAATCAAATAAATTGTAGTTTTATCAATTAGATTATTTCTTCGTAGTCATAAGTCAAGTACACTCTTCTGATATTTCTACGTTTCCTTAAAATGTGAGGTACTGGGAAAAGGATAATTCTCTCCATAATCAGTAGTATTTGTTGTAATTGTATCAATTTACTTGGCGATTTAAAAAAATGCAAATTTTAACCGTAAGACAAATTAATGTCTACAAAGTTTTATGTGTGAGGTACTGAAAAACTCTGCATTTAGTGTACCAATATTTTTAGAATTAATCAAATAACTGATGTCATTATTTACAGTTCGAAGATTATTTTGTAGAGGAGTCCAGATTCCCTAACTAAAGTTTTACTACTGTTTATGACAACAATCATTGGCCATCTGTATCAATACCCTCGTAAATTGAAAGTGTTTCTGAAACTTATTTATGTAGTCGTTCATAAGTCAACAAATTGTTTCTCACTACTATTGTATCGGGTAAACCCTCAACCTCTGAAGAGCTCTTGTTTTTTAAAAGGCTTTAATTTCGTCTGTTTATTATTAAAATCATATAGATCGGTGACAATGCCAATTCTGTAAATAGTTCTACTTGAAATATATTAAATCAGTCATCTGAATATATAAGATGTTTATGAATTTTACAGTTGGTTTCACTTGCTTTGCGCTTACTTATTTTCCTTGAAATTTTTCTCATGTAGCCGATGGTACTTTGAATGGTGCACATGGCAGTGTGTTTAGCTTTTCAAATGTACAAGGTCTTGATCGTGTATTGGCTTCACTGCCCAATCGTCAAATGACAGTAGAAACTGTTCTCTACACTAGATTGGCTAGTCGAGTTCAACAATCTGTTTTAGGTCAATTTGAATCGGATTTCATATTTAAAAAGAAAGCAGTTGTTCTATTAGATCAGTAAGTTGTGTCATATGATACAAAATCCATCATTTTAATTAGATGCTTGTGATAGATTCGATTTCACTGATATTTATTGAGTCCGTTTCTTTTTTTCTAAATAAATTCATTAATATAACTACACAATTGATACGATTAAAAAGTTTGCAGATCTTTTAATGCTTACTTATTGACTGGAAATTATCGAACAACTAAGTACTATAAGTAAACATTTTTGTAGTCTCGAAATCATAATTTTGTGAGTTTATCGAACACTTCGCGTAAAAGTTGAGAACTTCAGTTAATAATTTGTTATGATTGCCTCTAGCTCTTGTCCACATCGAAAATAGCGTCTGATGATTTCATATCACTTCTTGTCATCATTTTGAGGTGCTGTTACGCTTTTTTTGTTGGAAACTGTTGTTATTCTCTCTTATTACAACCCAGCTATTACTTTTGCTTAGTATTCTCGGACACCGATTCACTCGACAAGTCCCCAAATCAGAACACGGTTGAACAGGTTAGATGGAAGTAAGAAGCGCAATAGGAAAAACGTCAGTAGATTTATAGTTTTTACATGAGAAGATTCCAGAGTGTCCTGCAAATATCTACTAGCGCTGATCGGATAAGGAGTAGCCAGTCGACGTGTACCAACGCAGTCGTGCATTGATCATGCTTTAATCCAATCTATGTCCAGCTAGCAGAAACATTTGCGAAAATTAATTCATAAACCCAGTAAACTGTTGTAAGTTCATCCTATCGGGATAATTATTTCTAATTACAAAAATTCTGCAACAGTTAAAAACATCGTCCAAACAAAAGGTAAACCAATTCTTTAGGGATAAAACTTGACGTAGCTTATTTCGCCGTACTAGTAATTCACAGTTTCAAAATCTGCTCACTATAATAAAGTTGTTTGATAATTGATTAGTATAGTTGTCTATGCTAATCAACATGTATACCAGTTGTATGTGTTTTACACTACATACAATTGAGATTCTTGCTGTACTCTTACCAATAGACTATGTTGTAAGGGACCTACATGCATATGCATTAACAGAGAAAATTGTCCCGACACAACCTATAGATCTAGACTCAATTTCTCTAGCACTCTTCTACACCTCTTACTAAAATTATTCAGTCAAAGAATGTTTTGTTCTAGCTTAAGCGTTGATAATTTTCCTTTTCGTTTTTGTCTATCTGAGTAAGGTCACTAAGTGAGTAGGAAAGAGTAGTGTTCATATGCCTCCATGCATTTCTGTTTAATTTTTTTGTCTGTATGTGCCAAACGATGTATTCACCTATTTTTGGTATATTTGATATAGGTTTTCCATAATCACAAGAAGCTGGCATTTATAATATATTTTGTAAACGCTAATTTCTTTAGTTTGTAAACCTTAACATCTACGCGATCATTTATCTATATAAATTAAAATTTATGGTGGCTCTTTTGTATATTTATTACTATACAGACGTATCCTTGAAAAATCAAGTGAAATTTATGACCTCAAAAATTGCTCATCATTTTAACTTGTATTAAGCACAAGAAATCTGTGTAAATAATTCAACTACTTGTGTTAACTTGGTTTCAAGTAACCAATTAGAATTCAAAGTAATTTTTGCACAGGAAATATTAACTATCTAGTACTGTTTAGTAGCTAACTTAGTAATTGCTAGTCATTAAACTTCACCATTAGTCCTATCGTATAGTGATAGTAGTGCAACGATGACGGTGATCCAATTCAAAGATTAATCTGCTGAGGTACTTGAACCTCTTTTCTTTACACCGGCTGATTGTTGTTATGTATAGATTGCCGTAGTATCTCATTACTTGTTTACTTTTGTCTTCAATTACGTGTTGGGTTCCGAATGTTGTCACAGGGATTTCTCTTGTCGGTGGTTGTTCCACTCGAGTTGTTCAGTTATTCATTATTTCTACTTTAATTGGTTTGACAAGACAAATAAATTTCATCATCAGTGGAATATTTCATGCTATACAAATTTTTACTTTTGCCACACATTTGTGAAATTATTCACTTTGAAACCACATTCTTGTAAATTTGTGTGTAATTTCAGCGTCAACGAGAGTTGCGCTCATTATCAATCGTTTTATTTCTACTTTTATAGATTTCGTCATGACTTGGAAGATGTGGCTAGACAGATCGATATAAATAACAGTGCTCGTGATATGCATCATCAGTATCGAGCTTTAGATCCTTCACTGATGCCTAATTATCCAGGAATTTGATTGATGATCAACGATACATATATAGTTTTTTTTTAAATATGTGTACAAAATAATTGAAACATTTTTGTCGAATGTTAAACAAATCAGTGCAAATGAAATACATATCCTTGATCCCCTCTATTATTGTGCATTCTTTATCATGATTCATACTAAATTCTTATTTATAATCACTTACTTTATTCATAATCTGTGGTCACTTCACTATGATTTACTCTTAAAATTGTCTTCCAGTAATTTTTCTGTTTACTTTATCTAATAATATTATTTCTTTTGACGTTCTCTTTTATTTTATTTCATTTGTATCTATTTATTACTTTATCAATACATACCTAGTCGAGTTTTATTCATCATTAAAACTATCCTTTATTATGATGTAGCGTAGAATGTCTGTGATTAATATTGAAAAGTATTTCTAGTGTGTATAATCAAAACTAGTTCATATAAAATTCATATCAGTCAATTACTTAATATTCTTTTACAAAGAAAAGTATTATTTTTTATCATTTACACTTTTATGTTTAATGTTGCTTATACATAAGTCTAATGTAGACTATATTGTACCTCCTTTGTCTTATTCAATTACATAACATATCAATATTATTTTATTCTATTATTCATTATTATCAAACACATTGTTGTTATTTTTAAATGAATCATTTTCTCACACTTTTCTCTCCATTTTCAATTTCGTGGGGTTTTTTTTATTTATTACAACGATTAGTTTATTGGTAATATCCGATATCAGTAGTTTTGACAGTTTTAGTTTTGTTGACATTACCAGTAAAGAGAATAATAATGTCAGATTGTTTTTTTTTTAAAAGGTGATTTTATAAACGCACTTTAGTAAATTTTTATAAATAATTATAATATAGAAATTATTTGCACTTAATCCTTCACCTTCTTATTGTTGCTTATTGAATGTTTGTTACTTTTTTTCCGGCTGAGTGTATATAACAAATAATAAATGATTTAAAAGAAAGTTGATTGGTTACAGACAATGCAGTTGTGTTTTGTCTATTGTTTATCATGTTTAGTGATGATTAGATTTTAAACTTCATATGCGTTTCAGTTTATTTCACATTTTACTAGACATTGATAATCGTTTAATTAACTAGTTTATAGGATCTTTATATTCCCCCTGTGATGTATATTTGTCGACATAAGTAGTATGTGGTACCAATCGGAAGTAGAAAACCGGGAAGCAGAAGGCTATGAAGATCGACTTGAAGAAAAAAGAAACGGAAATAATTGTGACTTGGAAGAATCATACAGAATTTGAATGATAAATGATGGATTTAAATACATTGGTTGTCCCCATCTGCATTCTCGTTCAGTACACTCCTTCTTTGGATAGCATAGATTATCAAGAGTATTTATTGTTTTCAATTCATGAAAATGTTTGAATTACCTACTACTATTTGATATCTAAAGCATGTTTGGAACAACTTTGTAGTGAGATAGGTTTTAGGGATTCTTAAACTCTGTCTCAGTACTATGAACTCGAATATTTAACAGATTTGAACCCAAATCAGTTTGTCTTCCTTCAGTTTCTATGTTAAGCTTTTTTTTCTTTTTTTAATACTTTTCTCGAATTTATTTACGTTTTATTTTCTTCGTTAGGCTACCTTTTATACGTTCGTTAGTTCTTTTACTAATAATAAACATCAATAATCATCCATTATAATTCAATTGAATAATATTTACGTTCTTTCTTGATGGAAATTCGCTAATTTTTAACGATTTTTTTTCATGTTAAAATGTATAAACATCTAGATATGATGACTCAGTCAAATTCAACATTATGTTTAAAAAATTTCTACGGAGTATTTAATTCTTTATTACGACATGTTTCTACAACAGGATCTGTTAGTAACGTCAACAATCTTTTCAATTTCAAGTTAGTTTATTGATGTTCCATTATTACCCTTCTATGAATATGGTTGTTTCTTCTTGAATATTAGTCAATTTTTATATAATTTTTTTGCTATAAAATTATCATTCGGATAACGTAAAACCAATGATGATAAATAAAAGTATCTTAGTTGGCATAATGCAAGCGTTAAAATATGCAATGTATACTTCATTTTAATTGCGTCTATGTTACTATCAATACCTGTGTGTTATAACGTGTATTTGTTTATCAAATAAGAAAAAAATTAATAGATGTTGTGCGAGCATTTCGTCCTAATGTAAAGTCCTTCGAGGGCGATTTACGACTTCGTCGCTAGAAATCGAACTTGGGTCTTTAGGATCCTTCAGTCTGTGTGTTATTTGTAGGCAATCTGTACAGGAGGCCAAAAATGTGCTGGTTTTTCTACCCTGTTTGTAATAGTTATCATTTCATAATATAAATGAACTTCACAGACCTAATCCTGGAAATAAATATGTTTTTAGCTAGTTGTTGGATTTGTTTTTTCTCGTTTTTAGTTTGACTGAAAGTATTTTTACACATCACTTTGATATAGATTCAAATGTAAATATTTTGCTCTCGTTGTCAAAAGTGTTGTTTAATTAACTTTACTACTAGTAGTAGTAAATTGTGAAAATCGAAATTTATTTCCATAAAAATCAGAATCAACCCCATGATCTGTAATATTCTGCTTCAAAATTCCTAACAACCAGTAGTTTTCTTCATTATCTGACTTTTCGAATGTCCAGTTTTGTATGTTTATTTTCTTCACTAAATAAAATGTACTTCTCATTCATCGTTTTTTCAAAATTATTAACAGAAATCTCGTTTATAAGATAATAGTTATTGATCTGTTGTCCTGTGAGCAATACATGAATATGGGAAGGATAATAAAAAGGACACGCGTACGAATGACTTAATACTATGTATAGTTACCTAAGTAAATCAGATTATTTTTATTGATAACCTTGGAATGTTCACCAAATAAATATGCTACACTGGTTTAGGGTTGATATTTCTGTTTCTACACTACTATAATATTCAATATATCCATGTGTTTTTACATATTGTATTCTTGTTCATATGACAGATAAGATTTTACCGTCGAATAAATGTGAATACTTCATAGCGTTGTGCAAAATATCAATTTAAGCTCATTTTTTCAAGGGATTGTAATGGTAGTGAATGTTAGGCTGTGACTATTCGTCAAATATATTACAGTGATAAATATCATGTTAAATGCACTAAGGTGGATTATTTCCATTTCCATCGGGGATGTTCTGGTTAGAAACCTCTCTCGTAAAACGTAGACATTTTCATTCATTTTTTTGTAGTAACTGTCAGTAAGTGATGTGTAAATAAATGTCTAGTTTATTTTAACTGTATTTTGCCCGTGGAACAAATAGTACCATTAACAATATGATAATTCGCAAACAACTTTATATATAATAGATCATCAACAATACCTTTTTCATATTTGTATATGGTTGCTCGTAGTTAATTTATAGTTAAAAATATATACTTGTAGATGAGTCATTGTTCACTTGTGAATAATTAAGGTTCTCTTGATGAATTTGTCTTGTGTATACTGCTTATGTGATATTATTTGATTATTTCCACTAGTCATTGGATTAGTACTATCTCTCATGTAAATGCCAAAATTGTAAATACAATACTTTTACATTTCAACAGTCAGTGGCGTATTTTGCAGATACCATCTCGAAATCGCAGAAGTGAAGAGGTGAAGAAATTTTATTCAGAAACCGGTGACTATAACCCTCCAAATCAAGATGCTATTGATAGATTTAAACGTCTTCGTTGGGGTGCATATATTCATGCACGAACTGGTCGAGCTAAACATTTATATAGGTAATGTATATATATAATGTATATATATATATATATATATATATATATATATATATATACTTCTTTTATTATACATTATTTCATTTTGAAAAATATCCACAAAATTAATGTCATTGAATAATTTTGTTATAACGAATGGATATTAGTATTGTATAGGTATTTAATCGAATTTTCTCCAACTTTGTGATATGTAGCCGAGTAATGAATAGTTATTCAAAGCAAAATAGACTAATTTGTACTTACCAAATCAAGTTTATTGAAAGTTTTATACTAGGTGATAGTTTGTGCGAATTTGTAGGGTTAGGGCTGATAGTTACCATTTTCTCGCACCAAGTATCTAAAGTTTTATATTCGTAGATAGTTTCCAAGTGATTACGTTTAGCTAAATAAAACCTTAACTTGAACATTTAGTGATTATTTTTTAAAATGAAAATCTGTGTAGTTTTGTGATGTAAACCAATGATTGTGGTAAACTGCAAGATGAACGAAAATAATTATTTTTCAACAATGTATGTGTGCAGTTTTATTTGCATGAATTGTACTGAAGTTTGATCTGCGTTCTTGTTTTGCAGTGAACACATTACCTTGAAACTACACCTCGGAAATTAGATACTTAACACTTTGTTTGTGCTCTTTATTTTCCAGTGGTTCTTGTAACAAAGTTTGTGTACGTATGAGTTACATTTGATTTTCGACTATTCTTTGCTTTTTTTACCGGTTTTACAATTTCAACAAACTTCAGTTCTTATTTATTTTTCCTTTTACATTGTTACACAGACGAAGTGAATCTGAATTAGATCGACGTTCCGAGCACATTTTGACCAATCGTGCAACAACTTTTTTAATAAATAATTTGCTAAATAGACAATGGCGAACACCAAAATATTATCCAAATGATATTTATGAACCATATCATCAAAGAACCGGGGTCCCTTGGGATTATAGATTACGGAAACCCAAATTCTTCCCTTGAATGTTATAATGCTATTTAGTTAAGTTTACACATAAACTCTTTTTAATGATAATACCTTTTATAATTGATCACATTCGGACTACAGGTAACGATAGACATTTAAATCTGTTTTCTTATACTCTTTCTCCATGGCTTTAAGGAAGAATAAATTGAGAAAACGGACAAGATACCAGGTGAAATGCAGCGAATAGTGCTTTTGGCATTTTTGTGGTTGTTACAGTTATTTAGTGACCTTTTGATTTAAGGTGAACACGAACAGCTATTATTACTCCATGTTAATTGATGATATGTCATTAATGTGATAATGAGAATATGATAATAATTATAATCCCAGTCGAACAATCCGTCAAATAGATCAGTGAGCAGAGTTGAGACAGGAACAAAGTATTGATAAGATAATACGATTTGAGCATGTCCATTTCGCTTCTGTACTGACTTCGCTGAATGCGTCGGGTTAGAGATTGAGTTGCTCTTCGATTAAGTCAAGCACTTGGTTCATTTATCGGATGTGTAGAGTTCGAAATCTTCATCATCTACGAAGTCATGGAGGTTGCGTTAGGTTCGTAGTAAGGCTCAGTACTTTAATGTGGCCAATTAAGTCGGGCGATGAAGTTATCGACGGGCTAACCACTTTAGTGACCCTGTATCTGACTCTGATTAAATCTTTTCTGATTGTGATCGAAATATACATCCCGGCTACCTCCGTATATAATCATCGACATAAATCGTGTTGGCGAATGACGGAATTAAAGTCAAATACGAGAATGAAGCTTGAGTGCGCATATTTCATACAATCGGCGATCTGAACAGACAACCAGAGAGGGGAAGCGAAACTAAACGATACGCATTGAAGAAGGCGAGTGGGCCGATTCCATTTGATAACGCGTGACTCAATATTTATATTCAGACAAAAATAAATTAGACACGTAATGAATAGAGCAAGCAATTAACACACATTCGACCACATAAAAACAGTCTGAGTTAATCAGCGAATAGTTGACAAGGTTGTAATATGGCTTGAGAAGAATAAATAAATTGGTCTTTCCAGAAGCTAGAAAAACCTATGTGGGCTTGACATAGGGCCGGTCACTACAAGTTTTCCAACAAATAGCCTTAATTAGGTTATTTATTATCTATGGAAAATGATGCATATTTTATGCATTTCAGTAATTTTTTAAAAGTATGTTACTATAACAGGTTCGAAAAATTTTTATAGACTTTCTTTGACGATGGCATAAATCGATTATCAGACACATCGATTGGGAACGAAGATTTCACATCTGACTAACAAACGCTTCTTTAAAATAACCGTGAAAGTACAAAACAATCAACTTCTATTCGATAAATAAGTCTGGGAAGTATTTTTTTAAATAAGAGAATTATTAACCATATTAGGAATCCAACTTTTTGTTAAATAATCTACTATTTACCATTATCAAAACAAACTTTACAAAGATAACTATTTTTTCGTCACAGTAAGTAAATGTCAAAAGCTTGATGTAAAAATATACTTATAAAGTTTGTTACTTGTATCAGTTATTAATAGAATCCGGGATAAGACCATATTCTTCATTCTGTTGAGCTTCTATGTAGAGGTACTCATGTCTCTGCAAGTACTGTAGCAAACGAGAGCAATGGGGGACAATCAAATGTGTTTGGGTAAAACATCACAGAATCGGTTGTGAAACCATACAATAAATTGTCAATCAGTTGTCTCAAACTTTATCGTTCATTCGTATCCACACCAATCACTCTATGTTCTCGTTCTATTCTTTTCGATCTTAACCTTCTGCCACTAGGCATTTCATACACACATGCTACTTATATGTGTTGACATCATTAGCATACACCACAGTACCTATGCCCCTTTCGATACAACATAAGACATCTGTTAAGGCATCACAGATGAACTATCAGTTTAATTTTCATAAGCGTACGATATCATAACCCACTAACTTCGTGTTGTTTCAAAGTTGGAATGGATTACACTGGTGTTTGGACTGTAGTGAGATTTACTTGCATAAGATTGGCTGTCTTTAAATATGATAAAATCAACTTAATTGTTTTAACTGCTGATGTATCACATGGAAATAAAACGATATAATTCTGTACGAGAATTCACTGATTAGATCCGTGATGCATTCCAATGTATCAGAGCGTGAAAAACACTGAATTAAACACTTGAACACTGAGAAAAATTATTTGATGTTTCAAGAAATATCATCCTAAATCTCCAGTCACTGTAAGCATACTGAAGACATTACTCGAGAAGCTGCATGTTTTCAAAATGGTTTAGGCTATCAGCTGGTTACGTTTACTTTAAGAAGTAATGGAATCTTCGAATGTTATAACTTCTATATTTATTTATTTTGATAGATTCATAAGATGAGGCGAGTAGGCCTAGAACAAATTCCTTAAAAAAATGAAAAACTAGTTCAGGAATAAAATGATCTAATTCTTGTTGTCGGCCGCAATAAAAAAGGCAGTAGACTGATGAACGAAATGCTTGTCATTCTACAACTGCTCAAATATTTTGCCCAAGTAATATGCTTTGAAAGCTTGGAAATAAGTCAAAAGTATTTTGATTAATATAAGGTCTTCTCAAATACCAACACATTACAGAAGTATCAAAGCAGATAAACTGAACAACACATTCGAGAATTGAAATTCCCAAGCATAAATTTTCTTACGGGATAATCTCAACGCATAAGTTTTGTAAGGTTAGATTTCCAAATGATTTCTTTAGAAAAATATAAAGCGTTGCTATCCTAGCATGAGTATGTTGTATTTTTGAATAATTTGAGCCAAGCGGATTGTTTTCGAACAGGGAACCAACTTACAAGCAGTTTACTAGGAAAAAGCTCAATATCTGTGTGTAGTTGATGTAGTAAAAGATAAATAATAAACACTGGTTTTCAGCACTTCACTTATTATGAACTATCACATAGGGATTTCGATTAATGTAGGTCGATAACTGTTGTGCTTTTTCTCCACTTTAAGATACTTCCATAAAACTGCTTCGACATAAATAAAGAACGGGCCATATTTTGTGTAATTTTAAGTTGCTTTAATTAACGCATTTTGGTTGGAAGTGAAATATCCGCAAGCTTTCTAAAGTTTTTCTATTTCTGAATCCTAGATAACTATTGACTGAAAAACCGGAAACCATTTTTCAGCTACTAACTATGGATAGACAGGTTGAGTCTTCTTCAATATATTTGCTTGAAAAGACTAGCAATATCGAACTAATTCGCGTTTAATGGGTTATTTGGGGTTTAAATTTCTCCGCAGTGCAAGCTAAATATTCATTGAATCTATTACTTCAGGCGCTATGTAAAATGAGCAGCAAGTTGCGATAAGTCTACAAAGTATAATTAACTCGTCAACGAATTTTCTTTATTGAAAAGTATCAAAAAAATAACCATCATCTAGTTGATGCCATTAGGAACATGGGACAAAAGGCAGGGATAAGAAAAGCAGGAGTAGTCTTCCTACAATTTAAGGATATATGAAACTCGAAACAAATGTCAGCCAACACCGAAGTTAGAATTTCCAATAAAAACACCAAGACATTCCTATCGTATGGAACTAGAACTTAGAGAACGACTACCGTCATCATCAGACGGATACAGGTATTCATATACAGTTTACGCAAGATCCTTCAGATCTGTAGGTCAGACACCATTAGCAAAATCAACAATGGCATAGAAAAAACTAGATTCCAGTTAAGGAGAAATTTAGAGAAAGACGCTGGGGGTGCATAGGAGACACTGCAAGTCTATATATATCCGCATCACAAATTGAGCTCTAACTTGAAATTTCGAAGGTAAAAGAAAAAGTTGTTGACCAAAGAACATGTTGAGCCGGAAATCAAAAGAGTGGATATCACTCGAAAGCAACTGGAAAGGAGAGCCTAGGACAGAGTAGGTTTGAGATTTTTGTGAGAGGTCACAGGTATAAAGAAGTAAAGGCTTATGTATACAATTGAAGTTATTTACGGAATATTCATATTAATTATTTATTCCTTAAGTGATAATTTTTTTACAAGATGTACTGGTTTTTCAAAAACTTAAGTAGAGTTGATGTATCTGATATTTGACAAAGCAATTCTATTCACATCACCCAAGATCAAATTTTGAGATATTCACTTATGCCCCTAATCAAGCGGGATTAAAACAATGTGATCACGATTTGAATTTCCAGAGTCCATGTTTTTACGGCCTTTTATAATTACTTTAAGCATCAAGAACAACATATCGATACTATCGGAAGTTTAGTTATTAATCAATCATATTCAAAATTATCTTATTTTTTCCAATAGTATAACAGATGAAAATAAGGTTGAATAAATGACATTGTAATAGTTTACTTGCCGTTTATGAAGTACTTTCGAACCAGTTGTTAGGAAAATGGAACAATGCTTACATAGCCTTACCTTCACATGTGATCTTGAACATTACCTCATTGAGAGTTTACTCTCTTATTAACTAAAATAATAAATCCTCTATTAAAGTGAGTTATTAGCAAATAATTAGCGCTTCAAATAGTTTGAATTATTTCTGGTTAGCATTTTTTATTGAGTTAGTTTTCTACGGGATGGGGTCGCTAACCCATACCCAACCGTATTCCGTTATCCGAGTTTGAGACCGGCAGTAGCCCCAGAGGGTATCCAGGCGGATTTATGAGTGAATAATCACTAAATATTATCGTAATTGAAGCACTAAATATTATCCACTCAAAACTAACTTTCCACACATTTTATAAACTAATTGAGTGACATAGTAACTAGAGCTATCTTCACCACCATCACAATTAGAAATGTGAAAATTATTCAGTAATCATCGATGATTGGTTCGTGTATTAAAAAAATAAATTTATGAAAGATATGTGTTGTTGGATTCATTTTGTTCATATATTAACTGATCATTGAATAGTCTACAAATAACAAACTGTATTATTTGTTCTTTCGAAATATTGTATTAATTTATAATTCTGATATATGATGGAAAGAAAAGTCCATTTTCGAGTGATTTACTCATTATGAGTTATTGTTCAAGATTACTTCCGTTTTGATTCAATGTAATGATTACTCAATGTAGTATTTGGTTTTCTTTTTCTC